TAAATCAGCGATAGGTTAAAATCGTTACTAACTGTGAGGAAAGTTTTGCTATTGTCGTTCATAATGGAAATTTTAAACCTTAAATATACACAGTAAGAACGTTTGAATCTTTCACCCCTATATCGTTTGAACAATTTCCTCAATCCTTTGCTTTGCTTTATGACGGAACGAGATAATATTTTCTTTTAACCTTTTGACAAGTCTAATTTTTGCGATTTTCAGACCCTTTCTTCAGTTCACATTAAGATTTATGTCTGTTTTTCGAGACAGCTATTGATCTAGACTTAATTGTTTTCAGTAATTTGGGCTCAGTTTTATGCCTTGATCGCAGTATCCATGAAATCCGTCACTTTGAACGAATGTCATCCTGAAAACAAGATATCGATAAAATAAGTTTTACTTGATCTTGAACTGTAAGCCAAGAAACTCTACGAAAGGTAAGTAATTATAGGAATTTTGCATCTTTAACACGTACAATATTTTACATGTTCACTTTAAGTACTTTCCTATTGATATTTGAGAGATAAGTTCGTGACGAGTAGGCCTTGACTAAATTGTTTTTACTATATTTAGTATCACTGTTAATAATATCAATAATATTACTGATTTTAATACGAACTTGAAGTCCAGAGTAACAGGTAAAATAATACAACCGAGAAACAAATTTTCACATTTGGTCACCGACTACTGGAGTCATGTGAGGATTTTTTAAAAATCTTCGACCGATAATTGCATATTTGGTTTCTAATGAAGTCTTTGGAAGCTTGCCAATAGTCCGGCCAAAGTAATGTGGAAAATAATTGTAAATTTACTTTGTATTTAGCTCTGTTTCTATATGGAAATTATACTGAGAATTAAATTACAATTTTCAAGAGGAAGCTGTCACTTGGATGAGCATCTGCATTTTTTTTAGTTTTCTTTGTTTTACAATCTTCGATTTTTTTTGTTTTTGAGTTGAAATTTCTCTTCTAGAGTGTGCTTTTTTTTTTTTTGTCATTTTCATGTTGTTCCTTGGAAGTATTTTTCTCTTGAGGTTTGAGACGTCAACTTTTGATTTTAAGCCTCGATTAAATAGTTTTTACGACTATTATTACAACTATTATTAGTCATAAATATTATTGATACTGCTATCTTAATTCTTTATTTTAATTGTTATTATTATTATTATTATTATGGGAAAATACGGAGCAAGTAAGAATTAATCAGAATGTTAGCTCGGATTTACCTCAGGACTACCCCTTGCCATATGATAGTGTTGAAGGCTATGCTCATATACATTGATTTGGTTTGAAATGCGTTTTTTAACACCTCAGGGATTTGCGTGCCCCGGCCTAGCAATATTTCACGATTTTTGTTCTTAGCCTAGCTATTGAAAAACTAAAGCTTGTGATTTAAAAACTAAGCTTTGTTTTAAATCACAATGATCAATGGCAACAACAGAAGCTATACGAATCGTTTCGTCAGAGAACTACCGGCCCTGAAACTTTTCGTGAACATTTGAAACAAAAAGAAAAAGCTCTTTTTTACAATCAGCAAAGACCATCCGTGGGTGCTGCCAATATTTGTTAAGTATAAGCCAATATTTGTTAAGTATCGCAAGTTAAATAGGTATTTGGAACCGTTAAACAATACCTTAACTACCATTCATGCAATTTTTAAAGCTAGTTATGGATTAACGGTAGTTTATTTTACTGTCCCTTGCCTGGTCAGGCGTCTTTAGCGAACAGAAGCCAGAATTCACCACTCTTCTGAGGAGACGCTTTTGGGACGGGTGGTCCGTTTTCTTAAACGAAATTGTTAACCATGGGTAGGGGTAACCATAAAGCGAGCTAGGCATAAAATGCCCAACGCTTGTCTTTCCGTTTTGTTTTCCGTTTTTCTAAGTTCTCAAGGATGTAAGAGGAACGTGCAAAATACATGAATTCACTCATAAATTGAAATTTAGCTCTGAAGCGACACGAAAAAGACCTGCTTGCAAGAATTAAATTTTGATCTAAGGACCAACTTTAATTCTTGAGAATTCCTACAACGAATGGCGGTAGCCTGGGTAACTTGGTGTTTAAAAATTATTTACTTTTTATATCTATACGCATAGAATTTTAAGGATGTATAAATTTGCTTTCAAGGTTCACTTAAGCTGTACTTTAGCCTGAATTCACGAATGCTTTCGCGGTTATTTTTATAGCACCGTATTTGTGTTTCCTTTATGGACGCTATTCTACTAAAGTGCCGCTTTCTTGCAAAAAGGTTACAAATTATAACAGCCCATTTCCGAATTACCTTAGGCCTCCTTTTCAAAGCGATGTCCTGGTGCTCATTCTTTCATGTGATAATAAGTTTTGATTCACATGCAAATTAATCTCATTTCCGTAAGAATGGTTGGGCACTAAGCCTCGTTTTGAATTAAAAGGCCAGAGGTAAATAGGAAATGGACAACTGTTCCCATCCGTACTTTAGCCCCCACTGACGAAGTCCAGTAGTTTAACCACCTGTTCTTTAAGTTGTGTTATACCTGGATTTCAGCTACGTTTATGCGACCTACAAGACGGCGAATATCAGTCTTTTTAACTCCTCTGATTTTGTAAAGGACTACCAACTCAGGATCTGGACGAATGGTTGAAATAGCAGAAGCTTTAGGGTAAGAATCATGCCGAGGAAATTACCGCCTTTGGTGCTTGTGGGACGTCTTTTTAGCTTACTCTTCATGGCCAATCGTTCAGTTATTTCCAGGTGTCCAGGTAACGTATGCTTTGTCCTTTGTATGTGTATAATTTGCCTGGTACGCGTGTGTGCGCAAAGAAAAATGTACCAGAGTAAACGAATGCATACAACTCTTCCATAGAGTTGTGAAAAATGTCTAGAAAGAGAAACAGGTGGTCCCTGACGCTTTTTCATCGTATTAATATTGAAAGTAGATTTAAAAGAGGAGCCTTTTTGAAAAGAACGAGACTTAATTCTGATAGAACACATAAAAATGTCTCCTAGCCGCTTTATCATTAAGAAAGCTTTTTAAATATCAGTTGTTGTTCGCTCCATTTGAGTGAACATTAAGCTGAAATTCCAAATTCGTCATCGCAAATTTTTATTGCCAATAGAGTTGAACTTCGACTCTTGGATATTCAATTTAAAAACGTCCCTATTCGGAATTGAAGGGGGTTTGTACCTTGTCCAATCTAATTTGTGATAAATTTTTTTCTATGTAATACGACAGATTTATGAACCTGCATTCAACTAAATATTATCTGATCGAAACTTCGTATTCTTGCTATAAAGCTGTTTAACCGAACAGCATTCGCAAACGTTTATATAAGGCTGCGCTCACTCGTGAGAGATACTTTCAGCACTCGAAGATAAAATTCGTATCCCCACGCGGCCATGTAATATCCTCTATATCTCGGCCGCGTTACAAAACCGTTTCCTAAATTTAATTATCTCCTAACGGAACACGGTCATGAATAAAATAATGCTACAGGCGAAATTACCCGCTATATTTGTCAACAAAGGGAAAAAACAATCCTAAAAGGTTTTAAGAGGGTGTTAATTGTCTCCTCAAAAGCTGCTAGCATCATATTTTAATAACAAAGTAACTGATTAATGTTTTCCCTTAACTTGATTTATTAAAGAAATTTAACTATGTATGTTTTCTTATTTTCCTCGTAAACTCGTTTTCCAGTCGAAAGTTTTTTTTTTTGTCAAGTGATATTACGAAATTAACGTCAGTAAACTGTCAAACATCCTTACAAAAAAAATGACAGAAAAAAAGATAGAGGCAACTTTCCTCGTTCAGATAAAATCCGAAGAAGTTAGAAAGAAAAATATACTACTTAACTAGAGCAACATTTTGATACTCAGTTACGAACAAACGGAACAAGCCTTTGGTGTGTGTAACTCGACGACAACGAATTCATTCGATACGAGCGAGTAAAGACTTCTCATCTCGCCTTATATAATATAATGCATCTAATGTCTGGTACCCTGTCTGCGTGGAAATGATAAATTTAAGTCACTTCCTAAGCCTTGCACCAAGAAATGGAAGAGTACCAGTGTCAACTGATGATCTCTAGGTTAGACTTTCAAAATATCAATTTGGGTTTTGTAGATGCCGTGAAGTTATTGGCAACTTATGTTAACTTTATTACATGATTGAGGAATGAAGTAAAATTATTTTAAAGGAGTTGTAATGAACCTTTGGCCAAGTTTCTTAGGTATAGAAAGATCGAACTGATCGTTTGCACGACTTTGAAGTTCCGTTGCATCAAAGTTTCCTTGAACAATGCATCATTGTATGGGCAAAACAGCTCGGTAGGATAAATGGGAAAATAAAACAACGATCAATGATTTGAAAATAGAGTTGTAACCAGGTGGGTTCACATCTATTTGCAATCATCACATCGGTAAAATGTTTTGTAAGACTCTTAAACAAATATTCTAAAATCTCACTATTTCGACTAAAAATACTCTTAGTAAACCTTCATTAGAAGAAAGTGATAAAAAAAATTATAAAAGCACGAGTTTTATGGGAAAAAAACAAATCTGAACAATGGTTATTAATCCATTCGTGTCCTTCAGCACTTAAGTCAAATACCCTTGTGGCAAGTTGAGGGGATTCCATCTCCCAGGCTTCTAGAAGTATTTCCTGGCACTTGTGCGTAAGATCTAAGATGATTGTCAGAAAAAACGGGTGACCGAGACTGAATGTAAACAATGTCAAGTCTCAGCCAAAGCTGACTTTTGTGGTTAAAGATAAATTAGTTCAGCG